TGTCAACGTGCACAAACGTGTAATGCAAATACGATATATATTGCAATATTTTTCTTCAGTTTGTTGGAACTGCACTTTAGGAAGCTGATACTACTATTTTTGCTCTGGAGAGGTTTCCACTCTCGCAGCCAATAGAAAAGTCACCTTAATTATCCATAAAAGTATTGCACCTCTGCAAAATCAATATATCACTTACCATTATCGCAATATCATATACATATTTTTTTTCCATATTGTGCTGCCCTAGTCCAAACTGATATCGATTGAATGGTTTTCAGTGGTTGTGTTTTTAAGGGCGAATACCTTATATCTCCAGTCCAGTCTTTTCAGTGTCTCAAATACTTGAGTTATTTTAAATATTTTATGTATAATTAAAATATGTTCATGTTTTTAAGCTCCCTGGGTTGAACGTATGTGCATGAAATGTGTTATACAAATAAACATATTATTATCATTATGATTAATATGATTATTTATTATTATCATTAGAACCACAAAACTCTATTGCAGGTGAAATAGTATTTCTGGCAGCCATTTTTTCCCCAGAACTATATCTATAGTGTAGAGACAATTACTCAAGTACCATTTCCTTCCCTCCTCTATTCATTTCTAGAATCACTCAAAACTATGTGAATCTGCACTTTCACACCAAACGTGCGTCTTGCCTGCACAGAAAGCAACAAACTGATTTTAAAATGTAGGAAAACAAATGAAATACAACATGTCTTTAAAGATGCTTTTTGGGAAAACACAAACATCGATTACGAGAAAGGGCTGTGGTACACTAGTAGGGACATACTAGTGTGAGCGGCAATAATGATTTGAATTAGCAAATTATCATAATTAGGATAAACTCACATATAATAGTAATGATAATAATAAAGTATAGGTTTAGGGTAGTTAGTTAGTGTTAGTTGAGGAGGTGAACAGGCATGTTTAAATGTGAAGTTATATCAAAGTCCAGAAAAATGTATACAATGTTCTACCCGTGTCTTAATATATTTTTTTTATCAGTTTCTTCCCACAGATTCAGACATGGACAGAAATAGATAGAAATAGGAAAATTGATAGCATCACCCGTTTTCACATACAGTAATTGCATGTATATTTTGGCCCCTGCCTCACCTATAGATCAGCTCTTTTGGACGGAAATGTGAACCATTTATGAAACAAAAAACATAGGTAACCCAGTTTAAAATGGAATGACAGAAAGTATGGACAACATATAGTAGTAAATTCACGTTGCATAATCTCACTGTTCAATATGGGCCTCATTGATTGGATAGAAGCTCTGACATGGAGTTTCAAATCAATGCTGCTGGAAATCTCTCATTTCAATGTCCTGGAGCTTAAAACAAATGTAATCTTAATACACACGCGTAATCCTTTCAGTGCAAGAAAACCAGGGCACCTGCAGCCAGACGGGATTTAGTGGGTCAATGCCTTTTGTCGGAGAAAATGACCGAAAAAAAGAGGTGAAGCTGTTATGGTGAACTGGGCCCTGGGGGGAAAAGCGGCCCACTGACTTTTTTACATTCATCAGACAGGACTTTCCTTTCCTATAACCTCGTGTTTCAGCTGCCTGAGAAAGACCACAAGATTTCCCCTGGACTAAAAATACTACGGGCAGGGCAAAAAATAGGCTGAGTTGCTTTCACTTTACTGATGTAAGACTAATTGTGCCAAAAATGACCAACATATTCTCCATGACGCCAGCTGAGGTCATCACAGCTGCTCTGATAAAACACACACAGGAAATGAACACGCCAAAAAGTACGATGTGCAATATCATGTGAACAATGACGACTAAGAATAAGCCATTTTCCCATTTAGTAATATAGCTAAGATATTCAAAATAATTAGTTTTATTTTATATTATAAGTCTTTCACTCAACATTTATTTCTATGAATCAACAGCTGAAATGCAAACAGTTTAGGAATCAACTTCTGTTTCACATGTATGCATAATTATTACTAATGGTATACAAAATATCAATTGTAATCATAATATTGTTCAAGATTTAAGATTAATTTATTATGTCCCGTATAGGAAATTTGTCTTGGACTCAAAGGCAGCTATATTGAAAATACTATAAGACATAAAACACAACACAGTAACACAAACATGAACCATCACCGCTCTGCTCGATGGCCTGCAATCAGGAGGTTCACAGATATGGGTAGGAACGAGTTCTTGTACCGGTTTAGATGTCTTTTCTTATTTCTAGTTGGTACTCTGTAGCGGTGGCCTGATGGGAGGAGCTCATAGGGGTCTGAGGTGATTCTATAGAATGTATACCAAATTGTATTGTTACATGATTATCTTATATAAAAAACTCAAATAAAGAGAATAAAATAAAAAAAAGATTACGCTTTTTATTTGAATATTTTGGATTTTTGATGAAATATGGTATTGCTCACAAACACACGATTCAGTGCATTGTGCTATCAGTCCAACATGTGGAGATTCAGATAATGGCACTGTCTAAAAAATGATTAAATGGACAAGGTGTCTGGATGCAATAGCCTTGAATAATAATGTAACATAGGCTTTTCTCCCTAGCCCATGGATAGGGAGAAAAGCAAAAACTGAAAAGTAATAAGAAGCAATTTTCCACTCCTGTCGTTGTCTTCAAGCTAAAGAGAGTGGAAAATTAGCACGACTGGAAAGTGCATATGTTACACTTCTGTCTGACTTGCCCTCCTCTGACACCACAACCAATTTAATGAATAACCCAAATCTGACAAATCAGTAGCTCTGAACAACCGAACAGTGAAAAATTGCGTATGGAATCACATCACATAACATACTACTCAATCTGTTAAAGACGAAATATTAGTAGCAGTTCCCCCTTAGTTTAGGTTGCTTTTTTAAAGGTACTCTGTGTCATTTTTGCAGTTGCTCCAAATGAAAAAAAACATGTTAACTAATAACAAATGTGACCTTTTTAAAGAATATTTACCTCGACCATGTTTTTGAATTGTTGTCATAGGCTTAGAAATGTACTTATAAATGTACATGAGAGCTGGAGGACTCAGTCAATGTGCCGTCTTGAAATACAGTGGTTGATAAGGGACAAAAAGGAGTTTGGGACCACTGTCAAAGACGACATATTGTCCTGCGAAGCTACCTTAGTACCGTAAATTACCATATAATCTCAATGCTAGATGGGACTAAAATCTACACAGTGTACATTTAAGTGTGTAATATTTTAGCAGCAGTTCCTGACATAACGCAAGATTCAGCCACAACAGTGTCAAATACCACATTTTACAAGATAACATTTATTTTACTATTCTGATCCCAATATTAGCTTTTACATTGAAAATGTGAAAAAATTATGATCAATTTATTGCCCTTCCCTAAACTAAAAACAAAATATGAGAGGCGTATGATGAATTGGTAAACCATGCTGGCTCAGTACCAAAACACACAGTTTAGGAGAAAGAAGAACAAGTGCTATCTCTCAATATTAAAGCATATGTTGATAATCTATGTAGGAAAAGTGGAGATTGTAATTTTTTATATATTTTTTGGAACAGCACTGTACAAAACAACTACAAGTGCAACCACTTGTCCTGTGTTGATTCTTCTCTATTTATTCCTTGTTGATTAGACCTACAGAACATCTTCAAACACCCTGATTTGGTTTTATTACCAACACCAACTTATCAGATGAGTAGATATTTCTCCTCTGGAAAATCTCCCGTAGGATCAAACGTCTCTGTGAAATGCCAGGAAGTGGGCCTGAGTGTGTTTACCTCTGTGTTCCAGCTTTCCTCACAGACTGAAGCATGTTGTGTTTACTGTTGGGCTTCACAGATGTGCACCCAGAACTCAGTCCAGCTACACACAGTCAATCCATTCACAAACGCCTCTTTTCCACAAGGCTTTCTGTATACGTATCTCTATTAGGACACTTGGTATAGTGATGATCCTATGAACCTACAGTAATCCATTATTACATAATACTACTGTAAGTGTTTAATCATATATGCAAAATCAAGTGAAGATTCTCAACCAAATTCAGTAATGGAATATAAAAATATTATTGATAAAATTAAAGCCTCCAAAGCCTTTTCGACAAATACCTTGGAAAGGGCTATAATAGAGACGTTTGTTGCCAGAAAAGGTTTTTGTAACACACTCATTACTGTGGACTAAACTTCACCTCACCTGCCGCAAAGCAAAAGGGTACTTTTCTTCAGGTATGAAGCCATAAACAAACATAAAAACGTATGAAAAGGCTTCTGATTAATTTTAAAGCCAAGTTAAGCCACTTGAGCTTTAAGCATTGGAAATATTAAAAAGTCAACATGCAGGCAAGGTCTCAGTCCATCATTAATTGAAACCTATGTGCTAACCTTATGTGTCAAATATGGCATACATGATTTGCATAAATGTTAGCTTACGTTATATTCATCTTGACTGAGAAAGTTTGACCTTGTAGAACCATCAAATGATCTTCTCAGTTTTGAAATAATAGGAACTGAATAATGAATGCTAAAGGCCTTGCAGCCAAAAGATAATCTTTCAAGAAAGATTGGCTGCTCAGAGGTTCTTGATCAAACCATGGCATTGTGCATTATACTTGGGGTTGTAACTCTATGGACAGGCAACTTGTGGATTTAAGACTATTTATGAAGTATACCTTCTTATGATGACTGGGAGATAAGTTCACAAGGAACTGTAACCATTAAGCACAAACACTAAACGCCTTAATAAAAGGTCAAGATAAAATAGTCTGAATCATTATATTTTTTTCAGCTAAATATGAATGTATCAGTGTTGCACCTTTTGACAGCGGTCCATTTCCTCTCTGAATATAACTTGTCATTTCTGGCCAGTGAGTTACGTGTGGCGTTAACAATCAGATCAGTGATGCCGCTGTTATGACGCCTTAATAAACTGGTGATGAGGTCTCCCTCGGGACGACCTTTTGACATCCAACATCCTACACCCACCACGACCCCGCACAACAACACAAGCCGTTACTCACGCCCTGGGTCTGGGGAAGCCCATGGACAGCAGCACGTCCAGGCTGGAGCCACATTTGACCGAACCAAGGCGATTCTGACGAAGCCTGCGCGGGAGGATCTTGCTGTAAATGTCCTCTTTAGCCGCCATTGTCCCCCAGAAGTCCTCCCTCTTCACTGTGTTTAGTCCATTGGGGGTCCTCCGGGGCAAGCAGCAGCGGGAACCTCGACTGAGAGAAGCCGAGAGGAGAGCTGTACTGTACGGCCACGCAGAGGCACCACACCGCTGCCCCTCCCCTGGAGCAGGCGGCCAATTACAGATGCGCCCTAGATGTTGACAGATTGACAGGGGCGGAACTGACAGGCGCACACTCGGGGCGATAAGACGGGGGGCACAAGAACTGAAAAAATATTGAATCATTGCGATAAATGAATACAAACATAAAAGTGTGTGATGTATTATTGATTTATTAAATGAAAAGTGTGGTACCCCCTGCTCTAAGGAGTGCTATGTGGTACATAGAGTCCATAGTAAACCATGAATTAATATTCCCCTGCTTTGTCTGGATCCAGGTTGTGGAGGCTGAGGTCCTCAACCATCACCTAGTCCTCACTGCACCCAACCCCCCATGGAGCCCTCTGCAGGTAGTGGGATATGTAACAAACAGTGTGTTTCAAAACTCAGAACTGCTGTGAGCATTGGTCACAGTGTTCGCCCACATCAGCTGCTCCCCAAGACCAGAGGACAGAGCAAAGACAGGAAAAAAGACAAAGTTTCACTCACAAACAGACTCAAACAATCTGCGCTTCCAACTGCAGTCAGATTGTACAATATGAATTATAAATGTTACATATTTTTACCATTTTAAAGACGTAAAGTAAAATAAAATACACAAAACCAGTTTCTTTTCTGTAGGACTTGTCATCATTAAAAATTGTGACACAATAGTTAAGATTTAATCCATATTTCTTACAGAGGATCTATATGTTACGTGCTTCATAGATAAAAACATGATAAAAAATATGTATCAAATATAATTTATTGGATTGATAAAAAATATACAATTTTAAAAATAACATTATCTTGCCATAAAAATCAGATACAATGCATGTTGGTCTTATTTGCATAAACAATTCAACAGTTCAGTGCTTGAACATAATTATCTATTAAACTCTGATAACTGAAACTGATGGACTTATAGAATAGCTATTATGTATGATACATTTCTATGTCTTCAAAATTATATCATTCAGGCTTTTACATTAACAGAAAGATGGTAATATACCATCTTTCTGGTACTATATCATCTTTCTCCCAGTATTATTGTCATCTCAATATAATTCTCAATATAATTCTTTGGCCCATATGAAAGTGATGAGTGGTGGAGGATCAGCGCTGGCTGCTGGGGTTGTAAGGGGCTATGCCACAGAAGACACAACCAGCCTCCTGAAACGCTTGTCTCATCTCCATCTAGTGGCACATGAAGGCAGTACATTAGACAAATGTGCAATTGGGCTGGACAATTTATTTGATGAGGATCATTCATTAAAAACAGTGAATTTACCATTTTTGCTTGGTCTAAACACAGGCCAACCACAGCTCCTCCACTACCAGGTAACTTCACCGCAGAACCAAACTGAAAAATGAAAAATTCAATGGTGAAGAAAAAGTTACTTCTGATCTGAGGAAACGCCTACTACATCAATCAAATGTACATATACCTGCCGAGCTAATGCAACCATTTTGAGATTCCCAGGACCCAAGCAGCCATCAGTGTACACAGTCCTGTCATGTACGAAGAGGTTATTTAAAATGAATATGATTGAGTACTAGTTATAAAACAGAGGCAAACATTTACCTTCTTAGCTCAAAGTTTAGATCCATTAATTGAGCTAAGCGACTCCAGTCTTTTGTTTCTAAAGCAATCCTTAAGCACATCATATTTTTTTGAACAGAGGTACTTGCAGTATTGTGTCACAATTTGATTTTACTCACTTTGCTTGATCTGTCAAATCTGCAAAAGTTGTCATGGCTTCCACAACTAGAGGCTCCCCTGTAAACAAACAAAGGAAGCAATGGGCGAATAATGCATTTTTTCTGGAAAGAGCAAGCCAAATATTGTTTGAGTAGTCAACAGCATTTTTCTACTGAACAACATCATATATTTTTAAGGTATAGCCTTCAATATTTCATACATACCACTGAGCCAGCGATGTCTGATGTTGCTGTGGATGCGCCCAGAGTCACTAGGGTCACTCAGGTAAGCCAACCAGAACTGGGGGAGGTCCTTCATGCCCAGACAAACATAGTTACCTAAAAAGAAACATACAAATGAATATAAACAGAGATAAAAGGGTGTTAGAACAATATAAGATACAGCTACTACCATAGCCTTGATCATCCATGAGCTTCTTGCTGAAATCCATGTAGACCAAACCTTCATAGACCTGCAAAAAATAGAAAGACATTCTCTGTAGCTGGAATGTGGAAGATGGATCAAATGGAATATAGCATAAGTTATAACCAGCCTGGCCTTTACCAGTTTGTATACATAATTTAAATAAAGCTGGATTTATGGACCCTTACCTGTACCACTCTGTCCTGTAGACCCGCTGTGATGAAGAGCTCATCTGTCTCCACATTCAAGATGAAATCTGCTCTGATAGGTTTCGGCAAATCCTTGGACAATACATCAAATTATTTAGTTAGTCAACATATCATTTGAAATTATTTTAGTTTTATCAATTATACAAGGATCACTTACATCGTCGGTTATATTGTAGAACTTCATAAGACACTTCAGAGTAGCAGACACAATGGCACTGATTGGATAAAGAATTACAATCAATAATAAAAGGTTGTTAATCCCCTTAATAACAACGCACTTTCTAAGACCTGTACCTGCTTCCAGCCAGACCCTGAAAAACACAATAATATTACTTTATGAAATATAGAGTTTGCTATTAACAGCGACCACTTACCACTTGTCGAGGAATATTTGTATCATATTTCAAGGTAAAGTTCTGTTTTGTTAAAGCAATTCTGTAGAAAAAAGGCAAACATCTACAGTAAAGTGTTTTTTTTAGTTAACATTTATCAAAAGGTCTATAAATCAAACACACCCTTGTTTGGAGCAGAATTGATAAAACTTCTTGCACGTTGCTTGCAAAAGCCTGAGACCTCCGAGATAACTGTTTAAAACACATTTAGATTTGGATTTAATAAAAATAAAAACAATGGATTATAGAAACTAAAAGCTTTTTAAAACAAGTATTATTACTGAAAAGATGCATGGCCTAGAAGATCACGTATAACTTTTGCAGTTAAGTTTAGGAATAGTTTTATTGATAACCCTTGAACAAATATATGCATAAATGATTAATAGACGTCACTTGCCCTTCTTTCCTGCTGATGCAGAAGAGATCCTGCAAACTGCCAAACTCAGTGGGGTCATTGAGTGGGTGAGGAACCAGGACCTGCAACATCAAACATTTACCGATTTACCATAGACTGTTTGTATATGGACAACTCTAACCCTCAAGCTCTATGAAGTCCAATGGGAAGTGCTATTGACTTAATTTGCAAAGTAAACTCCTCTAGCTCAGTAACTGTTTGGGTCACTCAACATTTTGGACTGGAAGTCTGTGGTTTAGCACTCTGATCCTAGTGATTTTTTGTTAAATTGTCTTTATAAATCCAGATATGAGCAATAAGAATTGACCAATCAGATGCCTTGATTCACGCAGCACATACATTGGCTCCAGTTAGGCTATGTTCAAATCGACTTCTTACGCATCAGCACCCATGTTCAATCACTTTACAGAATAACAAATGTTACAAAATAATGACTATATCTTCTTACCAAAGTCTGGCTTTCTGTCAGTGTAACCTCTGCCCAAAAATTAGAAATGGTCATTGCAATAGTTTTCCCATTGAAGCCGTCTGAAGGATTCCCCATTAATCCAACCCTAAAAAGAAAATTGAATGTCACAAAAAGCATTGGCAATATTTGATGTTTTCGCTGAATCTAACCTGGCATACGACTTGCATGAGATTGGCTTGGCTGGATTATCTTGCTGCTTAGTTGAGTAGTGTGTCAGCCATTTTGTGTAGTCCGATAATCCCTGAAATTAAGAAAACTATAATATAATAATGCAAACATAAATGTCTGTATTTTAATAGAAACATAACAAAGGTTCATCGGATGTATTACGGTGAGGTTTCACTGGAAATCTAGATTTTGAAGAACTGTCACCTCTTATTTTAGGTGTCAGATACTGAGTCATTTATATAGAGCGGAATTCACCAGTATGATTTAACGGAATAGGACTCATATGATGCAAAGATCAGCTTTGAACCACATTAAACCAGTATTTTACTCAGAATTCAATTTTGATTGATCTATACATAATGATTGTCTGACCTTCGAGGGACAGAATGTTTTCCATCCTCCCCCGTGTCCTTGTGATTATAATTAATGCTATCAAAATATTGGTTTAAAAAACAAGGAAATGTATCATTGACTACTTGGTACTATGAAGAGAAAGGGCTTCTCAGTTTTAGTCTTTTGAACAGGATGTCAATTTTCCATAACTAGACCGTTTTAGATCAACATCATGAATGTAAAATCCTGATCCAAAGTACTTCATTGTTTTACACTAAATATCTGCAAACCATAATTTCTTCTAGCCTCTTAGCTAAAGAACAACCTTTGTTTATATACAACATGCACTAACCACTTGTCCAATCAATTGAAATCCTGTGGGCAGCTTCATCCCAAATACATCCTGTTTCTTCTCATTAATAAGCCACTCCTGAAAAACAGTGAAACAATTAGAACAATGTAAAATTAATTAAAAAGGAGATTTAATGAAGAGGTTGAAAGAAAATTAAAAAATAGATTTGATTCAGTTAAAATTGAGTTCTCCATAGTATTCAGGCTGGGGCACCTACAATTTAATAAAATACATCTAATTAGTGCTTCGATTAGTTTGTTTCATCACATGTATGTATCTTTTGGCCTCTATCAAAAAAAATAGAGGCCAATCTATGATGAGCTTGTTTGATCTAAGCTCATCATAGATCAGCTTTTTCAAATAAAAGTATAAAAGAGGACTTCTCCTGCTCAACCAATCAGCTCTCAACCCAAAGCCTCAAATAGAGACACAAGGCCTTTTCTTACAAGTACTGTATGCAGAAGATAACTAAGTTTCTAGCAAGATATAGATGACATGTTGGGGTCTCATTTGTTCTTAAACTAATAATTTTTAAAAAGAAATTTCCTGTTGGGTTTTTATCCTAAGAAGCTCAATTTTGATCTAAATTTCTTAATAATTTCAAATTGAAAAGAGATAGAGGCTTTATGTAAATTAGAGCTATTAGAAGGATGGCCCAAAGTCTATGCAGGAATCAAATGTTCTCATCTAATTTGCATATTGCGACATCATATGGTGGTTGCAATCATGGATTTTCATTAAATATATATATATATATATATATATATATATACATATATTTTACTGACAGACACAGATCACTTAGACATGAACACACAAACAGAACTCACACTGTACCACACTCATGGGTCAGGGAAATGTAGTAAAACAGTGTAAATCAGTAAATTAGGAGTTTGAATGAATTTTGACACAATCGAACGTTTTAAACAGTGCCGCATATGGTCGACCATGGCGCCTAGGGGGGAAGATATGTGCGGTCTACAAACCCAAAACTGCCCAAAGCTCCGGTCAGCGCCTTGGGGCTGCAGAAGGAACTCCGACAGATACGAGAGAGTCTCTTTCTGCAAACAGTAAAACACCACACTGGCCAGTCGAGACGTTGTCAGTCCCTCCCCAGGCTTTTCCAAAAAACGTGTAATTCTGAATAAAGCAGATAATATCACAATATGTCTTTAAATGAATGCATTATACAATTACGCTTATACTATAAACAGTTTTAACTCACTTGTTAGTGTCAGGACAGACCTCCACAATGCCCCTCGAGCTGCTTTTCTCACCCTCCTCCAGTTCATAGTAGATCATCAGCTCTCCTGACTGCAGCATACACATTTGTAAATAGAAGCCATCTCTTTAAAGTTACGGCACTGATGAAAAGTTGACAGCAATATGTTACAAGTGTTACTATAAATAAATTAGTTGTAGTTTCATTGTATTTTAAATTATCCATGCTATGACTAGAAAAGTAGGACATGAAATCACATACAGAAAAGCAGGACAATAGCTGATCATTAAAATCCTCATTAAGTGTGGACAAAATAAGACTTCCAATGCCCTGGAATCATCACAGCCTGAGACTTACCTTTGACTTGAAGAAGCGGATCACTTGAGCGATGTCAAAGTTTTGATCTGCACACAGCATGTCCCCTGCTATCTGTAACAACCAAATATGTCATAACTATAGACTAGTGTAATAGCTTAACAAAGATTAGTGACATTGATAACTTGAAAATGCAAATCAGCTGTTAAATAAATCATCTACCAACTCAAACTCTATTGTCTATCGTACAAAAAGAGCTTCTAACCACAATAATGTCATCTTGTAGTTTCCGGCTGCGTATGACCAGCTCCAGGTCGGCCACTGCTCCCAGACAGTTCTTTAGGGTCGTACTCCCATCATTGATAACATTTTCTACAGGGAAGTCGTTAGCTGTGGCCCAGCGTTCAAAATGCTTGTATCTTAACAGGACAAATTAATAAAATATGATTGAGGATTGTATGGAATAGTTTTTGGGTACAACATACGTCTGTACTTACTTGTCTGCATTGGTAACTAGATAGACTTCAGTAAACAGCTGCCGCCTGGGAGAGGAAAGACATGAGTTATTTTGCTATGACTTGGCTGAGTTAAAATACTGTACTCTAAAAATACAGTACAATAACAGGTAGTATGGTATGCTTTATGAATAATGGATACTGTTGTGTAATCTGACCTGCATATTTTGTACTGTAGAGCCATGTTATATCTGTATAACTGCTAAACATTATTATCTTAAGAACTGAACGTATTTGTTCTGACCCACATTGTTACTACAGTATCTATATCTTAAGCATGAGTCATTTATATCTCAAGCGATGACATCTTCTGTTCTTATGCACATCATTACAATTCATATAAAAAGCCTCGTCTGCCTTCGTTCAATCTGAAAATAAACCGTGGTACAGGTGCGATTGCCGCTACCTTGTCTTTATTTCTTGACAATACTATTAATACAAAAAATACAAACCAAAACAGAGATCAACAACCAACCTACCATACGCTACTTTTCACATGGAGGAGAATAAATATGACATACATTCAATACTAGACAAACACAAAAACACAGCAGCGGTACGCACATGTTGACGGTTTCCCACCAGAAGTCAAGGATCTTCTTCCCTCCAGTCCCGGGCAGTAAGGCCTTAGGCACTCCAGTGAGGTGGCTGTACAAACCTGTGTCATCATTCTGGAAAATATATATAATATAAAGGCTTATTATATATGTAACTGTTCTAATTCAACTATGGCCATAATTTGAAATACTATTAATCAGACAATTACATAAATACTGTACTGTCACTTTCCATTGATTTGAGTAATAATTTAACTTAATATATATCATTATATTATTACATCTGTATTAAGGTAGATTAATCCTTAAGGTGCACTTCCAGTATGAATCCATCATGTGTCCTCTGCATGTACCCCATCTGATAGACCTAAAAGAGTTATTCTGGGTCAGGATTTTCCCACCACAATTGCAGGGTAGCATCACAGTATTAGTATAATGCTAAATAATACTAAGAGGTTGAAAGGCAAGGAGAAACTTCAACTGATATCCCACAATTCCCAGCGTTGGAGAGTTCAAACAGGAGTACAAGAAGGCCTAAAAAGTTATGATACATATCAAAATAATGGAAGTACTTTTAAAAAAATCAGTCTTTCAGCAATGTCTTAAAATATAGTAAATGCAATAGCAAAGGCAGAAGTTGAAGTGTTAAAATAAAACAATTTCACAATGAATGTTTTGCTAACAAATAAAACAGGGAGATAGTAAACATATTATTTAGATAGATTGAGCAAACAAAGTAGCAGTCATTGGACAACAATGAAATGAACTGTAACCTACTGAGCTTTTGATTAAGGAGTTACACAGCCCTATTGGAGGCTGTAATTCATTAATTATGGTACAGTTAATACAATATAGTCTCCAAATAAAAACACACTTGACAAATAACTCAAGTTGTATTCAGTAATCACTGCATGAGGCGAGGGGTGCACGGGGCTCGTTGCCATCGTTACAGAACTTTGGACCCACTGTTATGAGACTTTCTTAAGAGCTTACCTTGATTTGTGTCTCTAAAAGAGTGCCGTGGCCAGCTACCAGCAGGATACAGATCATGATGCACACAGAAATATGTGACTTTAACGTGAATCGACCATATATGTGTCAGGATTTATAGTTATCGCCAAACGAGTACGTAAAAACCCATATGAAAACCTCAGACCTATGAAGCCTACGGTCTGGCTAAATACTTCCGGGCTCAGCCTTCAGAGTAAAATGTAAAGCAATGATAAAAAGTAGGTTGACCACATTTCTATTTATATATGAATGGGTATGCAGCCTAGGGTATGGGTGTGATTCATGTGTGGTTACGAATATTTCGACCGGGGGAGTTGATTTTCTTTCGTTTTTAAACTGAGTTTAGCTCGAGTCTTGATCCGTCTTCCTGTGACGTACGTACACTACATGTCTAACCTGTCATATAAAATACTGTTTGAATACTGTGACAACCGCACTGGTTTAGCTCAGTGGTTACTTCATTGTTCTTGGCTCAAAGAAACTACCTCGTTCACACGGGGTTCGAACCGCGGGCGCTACCCAGTGTTTTCTTCCATCCAGAGGAGACTTATCTTATTTATGTATCTTATGAACATCGACTGTTTATCTCAGAATAAAATAATGCATGTTTTTATGAAGACTTTATGAAAAGACACATTTGTACATTATAAATGAGGGTTCAATACAATGCTTTGTTTAGTTCAACATAAATGTCGCACATACAACACAAGGTGTTTTCTTTATTAGGAGAAATTGGATTTGACATGACATTACTGATATTTAATAAAGGCAAACATACAACGTTGTTATTGATTACCACCTTTTGTCTTTGTTTTAAATAGTTACATTGTTGCAATGTAATTGTTGTCTCCATCAAGGCTTTGTGAACATTACAAATAAACTACTATTAAAATGTAATATGATTGAATCAAAAAGAAAACATAAAAAGCAACATCAGTTATGAAAAGTTATATAAAAACTACACTGTGTAGAGACCTTATAGCAAGAAAAGAAAGTGATGTTTTGTACAGAAAGCTTAAAAACTGGGTATATAAGCTATTGAACTGCATGATCTGGCCTTGAGCTTACTCATCTTTAGAACATGTGATGTGATGACTGAATTTCATAACTTACAACTGTTAAAAAGCATTTACAAAGCTTAAGTTGTATTTTGAATTGTTTGAACTTTTTACATGCACAAGTACTGTTTGTAAAATGGTTTCAAGTCCTCATTTGGCCCATTTTTCCTCTAAGATACATTGGCAAATCTCTCACTGCGGCTCTGTGCTGGACGATCCTACAATGCCATTCTGTCGAAGGAGGTTTCTGAGGATCTGATTCTTGGATTTCCAGTCTTCCACCTGAATAACAGACAGTGATGGACATTGATGTTGGGAAAGGTATTATAGTTGTTTAAGACTAGATGTTGACTAAGTACCATTGTTTACTTGAAAACAAACATATTGCAGCTTACCTCCTGTCTTAGGAGCTGATTGTCGATACGTAGACGATCTAGAGTGCTTATGTCTTCTCCGAGTTTAATGTTGCTTTGCCTGAGCTCTTTGATATAGTCACAGGCTTTTGATAAGATGCCCCCTTTACTCTGAATAAAAAAGAAAGGTTGTCATGTGTGCTATTTCACTCAAGGTCAAATATGAACAGAAACCAACCTGTCCAGTTTTAGTGTAGTCTACATTACAGTCCGGAATGGTTTTAGAAAGCTGCACAATCCAATTGTTGATTTTGTCTCTTCGCCGACGCTCAACTGATTGAGAATATTTGTAAATAAAATAAAAAAGATAATATATTATTTTTGAATATGTGACTGACCCTCATTGTGTTGAGCTCTCCGTTTATCATCTCTCGACCCTCGAGGAGCATCTTGCTTTCTGCAGGATTAAACATTTGTTAGTCAGAGTAAGTTATAGTACATTTTACATGTATGATGCATTATGAAGTCTTATCAGTGGTGGAAGGTAATGAAGTACTTACAGGTATGCGTACTGAACACTAAAATCACTGTTTACACTTTTTTGACCATTGGAACTACATCAACTGAGTGTACAAACAAACAATTAGGTAACTACAACACATACCTAATTGTATTAGTATGGCATTGGATCTCTACGGTAGGACATACACTTTTTTCCCCGTAAAATTTTCCATAATCAAAATTGAGTACTATTTCCACTACTCTCTATGATTAACAGTAAGTTACGCCAAGTACGGTTGAGTGCGGGGTGCGATTGTTCGAGGGTTGGCTCCTGTCAAAACTTCCTGTGGTGACATCATTACATAAAGCTGGCCTGCAAAAGAAAGCAGTTGACACTACTCATTTATTGTGGAGCTTATTGAACATAATTTAAATGAAGAATCAGACGCACCTGCTGATGTGGGCTGCGCTAACAAAGTGTCAGCTGCCTGAACGGTGGTCACCATGGTGCCCGTCGTGGCATCAGCAATGGTTGCTGGGTAATAAGTGTATTGTGTCTCTGCACCACCATCACCCTCTAATCCCTCAGACTGAGAGAAAACAGCCTAAAGATAAATGAGACTTGATCACTGGAGTTCATATGACATCTGGACATACTAGAGGCATGCACAGAGTGTGATTGAGATAGGGAAAGGAAATTATGTTGTTATTTGTAAAAAATCTTTCTTTTCCCATAGCCACATCACCATCATGGACTGAATCTGGTGTTTGTATCTAAGTGTGTATGATTGGTGGTGTTCAGAGGGGCAATAGTGGCTTACGTTAAGTGTATTTGAGAGTCAAAAAGATTTATATGCTATATCTGATGCATTATTGCTATTTGAGGATCTGCAATTTCTGAAATACACAATCAGTGGCTCATGTCCCCTTTATAATATTGGGTAATATAATAAGTATATCAACAAATTTGGCAAAAACCAGAAGAAAAAAGGAAGGGATGTGTGTGAGATATTGTGACGCTCACCTGTGTAACAGTCTGTGAGGTGGCGGGGAAACCAGCAACCAGGCTAACTGCTGCCGCTCCATCAGTCTGAGCCTCCAGCTGTCCATCTGACACCTGGATCACCCTGTAGGTCACCTGAAACACATACATGCCATCAATAAGATACTTCTGAACTCATTGATAATGGCATTATGATCATACCTGTCCACCAGCCCCTTCTGTTTTGAAGAGATATTTAATGGGTTGATCTGTGAACGTAGCAGCAGACTGAATAGTGGCAATAGCTGCAGGGTCTTCAGCAGTAGCTACTGAACCTAAAATTGAATATGCAAAAATATTTAAAGGAAGGACAATTATTAATATCCTACATAATTACATGCTTAACTAATTAGATGTTACACATACATAACAAGTATGATCTTCTCATAATAACCCGTGAAGTATAATCAAGGTGTAATAGACAAAAGAGTTGCAAACCAATGTGACAAGCACTGATTATTTATTCTCTGGAAAAAAAACCAATATGGTTTTGTTTACCTTCTTCGTTCACTGTAATACTCCCATCGGTCTGGTCAGGGCTTTTCTGTTGGCTGCACACATACAGAAGAAGGTATGTAAAAAATATAGTGCGATATTACTTTCAGAAAACATGATATTTTCTGATCAGAATGAGAAACAAAAGGGGTTGACGAGTTGCCTTGAAAATAAAAGCGATGTTCTGCTCTGTAGCTGTGTGAACACTCACCTCTTCATCTCTGTCCTGGCCAAAGAGACAGACTTCTTTTGCTCCTGAAGCCAGACTGAAAAATTAATTTAACATCAACAATCCAATGGACCGTATCTTTTTACTATAGATCAAGGTTTTAGAAGCTGTTTGGTTTTAGGAGACATGAGCTAGAGACAGAGCATAGCTGCGCTAACACTGTGAAGTTTCCTAGCATCACAAGAATATTAGCGACTAAACAGGAAGCGTCGTTTAAATAATACTCCTCCAATTTATGCATTATATCTTCCACTACGAACTTGGACGATGTACAATGTATATTTTACAAACAATGATTTGTACAAGTGCACTTATCCCTTCCTATCAATAATGGACAAATCTTTCTCGCAAAGAGCATTAACACATCCCCCGGATGTGCATCATCTCATTTTCTTAGCTTGACTTTTTGATGTAGATTCGGATACAGCGGCTTTTCACATATGTTTTTACGTTTTCACTCTATCCGGTTACTGTGAATAGACCAGTTGGCTGCTGTACAGCACACAGACCCACCTATGCTCCAAATGTCTCTTCAACTGTGGTGTAGTCATTATTCAGTCATAACAAAGGTCTACTTACGCCACAGTGGTCCCTCCCCCGATATTTGTCAACAGAGCAACGGCGGGGACGCTATGCGCATGCGCTACCTAAAATGCAAACTATGTTTTGTAATTATGGTCTACGTTTAAACTAAGGCAAAGCATACAGTACAATGCGTTTTACACAAAAAAAAACATATGCACGTCAAACTGTGACTTTTAGGTCGATATATTACTAGTCGACAATTCTACGCATGCGCATCACTGTACTGAAAATAAAGACTTAAACATGAGCTTTACATATTTGTGGGTAAGTTCACTTTAGACATTTTACTTTAATTGAAGGTTTTAATATAACTTTATGTAAGTTGGAAAATTAGTTGTTGAAACTGCCTTTCTTTGCTCTATTGCTCAGCAAAAAAGTGCGCAAGGCAGCGCCCGGGGCTCGATCCCAAGAGGGATGGAGTTTGTCTATCTCTGAGAGAGAGAATGCAATCGAAGTAGCCACTGAGCTAAACCTACGCAACTACCCATAGTGCAAATTGTATTTTTATATGATACAGCCAGCAGATCAGATCATTTCACGATTTGACAACATAGAAGCCATAAATGAGCTGCGACATGGAGAAACCCGTCCAGAGTTATATTTATTGTGTTGTATATAACATATATAACAATTGTATTTATATATATATATCCATCCATCCATCCATTTTCTTCCCTTTAATCCATTTCTGGGTCAGGGGGGTGGCAGTCAGAGATGCCACCCAAGTCTCATAGCACCAGCCCCTCACTGACCCTCTGCAGGTGGTGAGTCCACAGGAGGACGGCTGCTCTCTGAGTGTGAGCATAGCCTTGATCTTTCAGTGGGGGCTTTGGGCAAAGTGGGGTTAAGTGTCTTGCCCAAGGACACAACGACAGCAGTCATCAGTGGGAGTCGGTGGAGAAGGTGCAGAGGTGGGAATTGCACCCACAACCTTCTGGGCTTAAGGCCAATGCTCTACCAACAAGTAGAAATACACCCCATGGGTCAAATTGTTTTAATACTACTATCAGCTAATAAGAAAAAAATACAGGAAGAGGCAGACTAATAATAGTTGAAGGAATAATCTCCATATAATGTATTTTCAGATCATATGCATCTGTTTGCATGCATTTGTGTTTGTACTCACACAGTAGCTCAAAGTGTATGTATTTTATTTGGTTTCAGTGCTTTCTAAAATATGATGTTGGATACAGAAAATGCTCATACTCTTGATGGCTTTATGTACCACATTCAATACACTGTAGTTGGCGTGGCTGTAAAAGAACTACATTCAAACATTTTAGTTGTTTAATTTTCTTTAACTAGAACAATCCACATCAAGACCACTGAAGGCCATATACTGGCAACAAGGACCGGCTGCACAATCGAACATGCTCTTGCCTGGCAAGGTTTGATACTGCCTGGGGGGGAAAAACAAAATACTACGTTATAACATGTTATTGATAAGTAAAACAAATGTGAATGACGGAGGTAGGCCTCAATCCAATAATTAGGGATTAAAACCAAGACATAAACAGATAAGACTCAATCAGAATTTTTTTCTCGTATAGATCAAAAAGGTGCATGGACAAAGTGTTAATACTAACCTTTTCCTTTTTTGATGCTGTAGTTGATGGTAATATTCCGGATCTCTAATCTGACTTTTCGTGTTAGTGTGCAGTTGAATAGAATGGTTTTATTGGCATAGTTTAACTTGTGGTTGGTGATATTCAGCTCGCACATGTTTGAAACCAGCGGTGGATCCATGTCTGAACTGTTAATTTGGCAGGAGAAAGACGGAGAGCCCTCACAGTCGGGATACGAGCACTTCAGCCTTGAATTAACCAAAAAATAGAATTAATTACTCAATTTAAATGATTTCAAACATGATGAAGTTTAAAGAAGAGAATGTGGCAGAGATGGCAGCCTGCTTGCAATAGAAACTTTTCAACAAGCACAATTAAATAAGAATGTGATACCTTGCATATTATCATAAGGTTATATCTGGCTATATTAATATTATGTAAGTTATCTTTAAGCCATCACTGCAGGTGCTTATGACTGACGTCTTACCTTAGAGTGTTGTTACTGGTGCAAGCTTTAATGAGCCCAAAATTTCCTTGTTTTGCAGCAAAAACTGTAATAGACATAAAAGTACACATCATATTTTTACTAGGAGCAAACTAGGAACAAAGGAATATAGTCTGAAATGATCACACTCTGCATATATTTAGGAGATTTTAAAACTAGATTTTTCTGTAGACCCATCCACACACTTCTTAAACACACACGAAAAAGGACTATTAGTCTGCATAATTGCTGCAACCAATTGGTAAACACAAATATTTGGTGCTTGGAAAGGTTGAACATTTTCTGAATAAAATGTAATTGTCATTTTAAGTATTTCCATTGTTATTAGATTTGTGATCTATCTTTTGACATCCACATAAGAATAGCCTCAACGTGAAACTCGGTAAACTCGTTATGGCCATTAACATTTCAGAGAATACTTGAAATGCAGCTACAGAAAGGACACTTTTGTCCTGAAGGCTTTTTACTCTCAAACTGCCCTGATATATACAAGTGATTGACCTGTTCCCCTGGTATGACATAGAGACCTAAACCTTTCTCAATGTTTGTCTCTCAAGGATGAGTAAAGTTACCGTAATTTCCGAACTATAAGTTGCTTCTTGTTTCTAGTTCTTTGAATCTTGTGGCTTATCTAGAGATGCAACTAATATATGTAATTTTTATTGTTGTCAGGGAGTTTATGGACCCATTATTTGGCATCCATCCAGTTTTAGTAGCCATAGGACACTCGTTTAGTGTCATAATATAACGGTGAATGACTACCGGCATGGAAGCTAACATGTTAATCTGTTAAACTCCTCTTCATAAAATTATGTTGTGACCAGTTAGTCATTCATCAGTTATATTACATGAAAACCTGCGGCTTTTTTTCCAGCGCAGACGTAATGTACTTTCTTTTCAAATGTTACTGGTGCGGCTTATACACCGATGCGCCTAACAGTCCAGTACGAGTACAATACTGGATTGCTTATCTTTAGCTTCAATAAACTCAAAAGTAAGCTTTGTACACAGTACTCTGTAGGGCTTTTCATAGTCATAAAATATTGTAACATTGGCACTAAACTCCTTGCACTGAAACTTCTATTTCAGTGCAAGGAGTTACTCTTTGGAGCAGATTAATAGACGATTGAACATGTTAAAATATAATTAAGTGAAAAATATATGAGAAAGAAGTATGAAGTATGTGTAAGAAAGAGTGATGCCCTCAGCACTAACTGAGTCATGGGAGCCGTATTGTCAGGGAGTAGTTTAGGTGTTTTGGGTTGCGTTGTATGTGTGTGTGTATGTGTGTGAATGTGTGTATGTTTTGTGTTATATTGATTAAATGAAAAGGGATGGAGCAAAATAAGCATTGCTTTGTCCAAACCCATTTCAAAGTATTTTTGTATCTTGTTTATAGTTTTATTCTATATGGCATTTAAGTTTGAAACACATTACCTACCTACCTACATTAATTTCAGGATTGGAAAAAAGCATACAAAATAACATTACATTCCATCTTAATTCCTCTACGGATTAAAAGAAAGTTACGCATTTTTTGAACATTCAAATATTTCTTTCCTAACATCAGCATTTACATTGAGGGAGGAAAGTTGTAATAAAGTTAGTGACATTAAAACAAGGCTATGAGCGAGCAATGGTATCTGTCGATCTTCTAAATGTGATTAAGTCTTGTCCTAGTGACTGATGCGCTTGTTAGAGAGGAGACAGGAACCGCCAGAGTTCCATTAGCCTCCCTTCGCATGCAACACCCAAGCAGGAAAAACACACACAACAAGTGGAACAAAAGTTACTCTTACCAATTTGGAGAGAAAGAAGAGATGCTACAAAGAACATGATAATAATTCCCTGGGTTTAGGCTGTAATTAGATACATACAAGATATCTTAAGTTAACTATTGCGCTAGATAAAGGTGTTCTAAATTAAAAGCATGGCCGTTACAATATAGAAAGTCTAATCAGGACAGAAAAGTGTATGAACAAAATGGTACCGTTTTAGAGCTGGGATCCTGTTGCTTCAAAGGGAGGCAGAGATTCAGTGTTTGTAGGGCAGGGCAGCTGAGACCATCTTAAAGAGCTACGCACTGTGTGTGTGATGTTGGGCTCAGTTCTGTGGTTTCAGGCACTCAAGATCTTTCTGGCTAATGCGATTCTTAATGAGTTGAGTACTGTAGATTGTAGAGACAGATTTCCTTTACAGTGAATTGAAAATATAGCTTACACAGATTCCACTCTAGGTCCATATTATTATAAGCGACTTATGATATGACTTAGGTAAAACTATTATGCCGTGTGCTGTGTCTCTTTATAAAAACATCACAATGGTTTACACTGAGACTTCTAGTGTGTTACGTACAACTCCATACAATTAGAAACAGCAATTACAAAATAAAATAAAAACTACTTAAACCAAACTTGACTTTCACAAGTAAAAAAAATCTGTGCTAATGAGTAAATTACTAAACACAAATTACTAATACTAATAAATAGTAATTGTAAGAATATGAAATATGGTATCACAATGATACTTGACTATCTGCTTTCTCTGTCCATATATATATATATATATGTTGATTAAGTAAGTCATCTTTATTTATATAGCACCTTTAACGATTACGGCATGCAATATTTTAGCCATCCCTGTAAATGCTAGTCTCATATTGATATCTTGCCCATTGCAAATCTACATAATGCACTTGTGTTTATTGGTACTTACACATATAACTATGTAAATGTGATAATCGTGTAATATTTAAGCTGAGATCATTAAGTATTTGGATTGGAGATATTTCAAATATAGTAACCCTGCAAGTGTGGACATGTCTCTGTTTGGTTGTGACCGAGAGAACATCGCTCATTGAAGTTTATTATTTTTTATATACTTAGAGCTGCATTATTTTGTTTATATCTGTTGCATTTATTCCTACTGTTCTGCAATGTGTGGTTCAACACTGACATTTCTACACTGTGGCACTAATGGAGATTGTCATATCCTATCTGTACAATATTCACAACAATAAGTGGACACAAGAAAAAACTTGTCCAAATATGTATGAAAACTAGAAAGGAGCATTCAACAGTGCTTTTGTTTTGTATATAATGATCAGAATATGTGGTTGTCACTGCGGGATTGTAAGCAGTGAATATCAAAACAAAACACTGGACAGCGCCCGGGGTCGATCCCATGATGGGATGAAGTTTGTTTTTCTGAAAGAAATGACAAGCGAAGTAACCACTGAGCTAAGCCAGTGCAAAAGAAATACAGCTCAAAGGCTTTCATATATCTGAGTCAGACACTATTTATGCATTATATCTTCCACTACGAACTTGGACGATGTACAATGTATATTTTATAAGCAATGATTTGTACAAGTGCACTTATCCCTTCCTATCAATAATGGACAAATCTTTCTCGCAAAGAGCATTAACACATCCCCCGGATGTGCATCATCTCATTTTCTTAGCTTGACTTTTTGATGTAGATTCGGATACAGCGGCTTTTCACATATGTTTTTACGTTTTCACTCTTTACGGTTACTGTGAATAGACCAGTTGGCTGCTGTACAGCACACAGACCCACCTATGCTCCAAATGTCTCTTCAACTGTGGTGTAGTCATTATTCAGTCATAACAAAGGTCTACTTACGCCACAGTGGTCCCTCCCCCGATATTTGTCAACAGAGCAACGGCGGGGACGCTATGCGCATGCGCTACCTAAAATGCAAACTATGTTTTGTAATTATGGTCTACGTTTAAACTAAGGCAAAGCATACAGTATTTCACACCACCTCTGTATATAGTCAATTAAGAGTTCTTTTACTGATGGCTCTCTTCTTTATTATAACTTGTACACGATATTTCAAGGGTAACATGAAACATGTAGCACAAGGACGCCACCGTCGAACTAAAATAAGCAACATAAAATACAATTAGTAAAACAAAACACTCAAATAATGCATTTAAGCATACTAAACACTAGTGATGGCAATATGAAGCCCCATGAAGCCTTGAGGGATCGCAGCCTATTACTCGGCCCATGAGTCGAAGGCTCGAGGTGAATCATGCTCCACTACGCCATCATGTGGACAAAGAAATACATAACACTCTTAAGTGCTTACAATGAATGGTGAGATCTATTGTTAACATGTATATTTACAATCTATGGTCTAATGTGTTGTGTTTGAAATGATGCTTCATGAACTATGAACTATTTGAGTCTTTCAGTCAATTGTGTTGATACAACAAACACATCCAAAGTAATACAGTTCTACAGAAAGTGATTAATGGAGGAAAAACTACCAAGAGGTGGATTAATTAAACACAACAAACCATTTATTCCCAATAAATAAATACATTTACTTTGCAACACAAAATTCATTATGGGTAGACCAGGATTCGAACGCTCTATCTTCTGCTTCGGAGTCCGTCATAGACCGACTGCGCCACACAGCTGTTGTGAAATATATTATTCAGCGTATTATTACTCATAACTTGAAGCCTTGATATATGAGGTTTTACTAAAGTGAAACGTTTTTAATTGTATTTCATATGAAGTAGTTTCTCTATACTTAGTACAGGACTGCTCCACATCACGCACACACACGTACGCACACAGAGGCATCTAGTCCAGAATTCGTTTGTCAAAAACTGTACTTGACGCCATCTTTTTCTCAGGTATAGATCCTGGCTCACAAACTCACCAGGAGGCGGTAATATGATGTTGGATTTCATCATAAGAATATGATTGGGTGTGAGAGGTTCAACACTTGTTGGATCGTTCAGATTTTCTACTGTTAATGGTCTGCTATTCACAACAGCCATAACTTCGTAAAGAAAGGTTCTAAGCGTGGTACTGTCAAGTCGTTTGGAGGTTTGATCAAGAATAGCCGTCAAAACACTTCTAATGGTCCTAATTTGCCTCTCCCAAACACCTCCCATATGGCTCGATGAAGGAGTGTTCAGTCTATGGTATAGCCGCGGATCACAAAGCACCTGTCAAAGCAATGCACTCTCCGAACTATATGAAGCACTATATGAACCGTCACGTGGTGCGGCCGCTACGCGAGGCTTCGAACGTCACCACACACGCCTCGAACCACGCTTCAAAAAATACGCCCCTTTTTTACTCGGTACACGCTTCGAAGACCCGGCACGCTCAGCACATCACTACTAAACACATATATACACATACCTCGCTGGATGACCCATACTTCAGAGGCAGAGTTATGACCTTGTCATCGCTCTTATAACACTTATAACACAAATCACATTTGCTCTTAGCAGCGAACTTTTACCACACACGTCACTTGACCATGTGGACTTGCGTAACTCAATTAGCGTCACCGAAAACAGGTAACGAAACAAAGGTTCCTACTCAAGGATTTTCAAAATAAAGCAATACATTTACAAATAATTCTAAAATACACAAATCAAAAGTATGGCAGTAAAACTCCCACCAAATCACACAACGTGATTTCTTATCAACATTAAACATATCAAATGACAATAAAGAATGCCTTAGTTCAGTATTACTCTGCTTCTAGTAATAGCACTGTTTTCTGTACAGGTCTATCAAGATACACTGGTTTCACTGTCCTTTTCCCATTCTTATCCAGAGTTGAATCACTGATTAGCAGCTTGACTTTCCTCACTCGTCCATCTGCACTGGGATGAACTTCGGTTACTCGTGCAAGCTTCCACTGGTTTCTTGAGGAGTTATCCTCTTGAAGAATAACAATGTCATTCACTTTAGTGTTTCTCTTTTCCTTTTGCCATATCTGTCTTTGCTGAAGATTGAGAAGGTATTCTCTCTTCCATCTAGTCCAGAATTCGTTTGTCAAAAACTGTACTTGACGCCATCTTTTTCTCAGGTATAGATCCTGGCTCACAAACTCACCAGGAGGCGGTAATATGATGTTGGATTTCATCATAAGAATATGATTGGGTGTGAGAGGTTCAACACTTGTTGGATCGTTCAGATTCTCTACTGTTAATGGTCTGCTATTCACAACAGCCATAACTTCGTAAAGAAAGGTTCTAAGCGTGGTACTGTCAAGTCGTTTGGAGGTTTGATCAAGAATAGCCGTCAAAACACTTCTAATGGTCCTAATTTGCCTCTCCCAAACACCTCCCATATGGCTCGATGAAGGAGTGTTCAGTACAAACTCACATCCGTGTTGTTTTAACTGCTCTTGGTCAAAGTCTTTCATAGCACTCAAAAACTCTCCCTTAGCACCCACAAAATTGGTGCCTTGATCACATCTGATTTGTCTTACATGTCCACGAATAGCGATAAAGCAGCGTAATGCATTAATAAAAGCATCACTGGTAAGATCATCTAACATTTCAACATGTATTGCCCTAGAACACATACAAGTAAAAATAAGACTGTATCTTTTTAACTCCTTTCTACCATCTTTCACGTAAAAAGGTCCAAAACCGTCAATACCACAGTAGGAGAACGGAGGTGTAATTTCCATTCTGTCCTCTGGCAGATCTGACATGCGTGGATCTTGTGTACTTCTCCTGTACTTACGACAGCTCGTGCACTTGTAGATGTGTGAAGCGACTGCACTGCTGCATCCAATGATCCAAAGTCCATTCGCACGCAGCTCGTTTGTAGTTATTCCTCTTCCTCGATGACACTCTTTCTCATGGTAGTGTTTAATCAACAACGATGAAATATAACTTGATTTCGGTATGATGGCAGGATGTTTGATATGTGGGTGAAGGCTCGATCTTGTTAAACGTCCTCCTACTCTGAGTACTCCCTGCTCATCAACAAAGGGACTTAGTTTGTAGATCTTGTGTGTCTCATCTTTGATTGGAATGTCTTTTCCTTGAATCAAGTTTTTGATTTCCTTATGAAATGCGTTGTCTTGTGCCAGTTTTATTATAAACACTTCAGATTCTTGTCTGTCCTTTATACTTGTGTTTTCACCCTTTGTTTGTGTGACACATTTAAAGTCTTTCACAAATTTCCTCAAACGAGCGATTGCTTTGACAGCTCTTCTCCAATCTGAGAATTTTGTGAGGCGTTCTAATATGGATCTCTCTTGTTGTTGTGTGCTGGTGTTAAGTACATGCAATGTTTTTAACTCAGGATCATTTGATATGAGATCATTAACGTCATAATCTTCAATGGGTAACTCACTTTGCCACAAAAACTCTGGACCTTTAAACCAGTTTGAGTCGAGGAGCTGTTGAACATTTAATCCTCTTGACGCATGATCAGCAGGGTTACTTTCAGATGGCACATGATGCCACTGCTGTGGTTCTGTGAGTGACTTTATCCTTTGAATCCTATTTGCCACAAACACGTGGAATCTCTTTGCGTCGTTATTCACATAACCTAAAACGACTTTAGAGTCAGTCCAAAAATGTTCTTGGAGATTGCTTAACTCAAGTTCATTCCTGAGCATCACACTTGTTCTAGCAGCAACTACTGCAGCTGTTAACTCAAGTCTAGGGACTGTCGTAACTTTCGAAGGGGAAACACGCGCCTTCCCCATTACTAGGGCACAATGGACATCTTTAGATGTTACTGTTCTTAAATAACTACACTGTCCATAGCCTGAGAAACTAGCATCGGAAAAGTGGTGTAGTTCACATTGTTTAATGTCTGTATTTGCAGGTAAGAGACATCTTTGAATTCTCACCTTTGATAGATTTTGAAGATCTTGAAGCCAGAATTCCCACTGAATTCTGAGTTGGTCTGAGAGTGGATCATCCCATCCAGCCTTTTCTTGACATAACTGTTGTAGTATTTGTTTCCCCTTTAAGATGAAAGGTGCTACAAATCCCAAAGGATCATAGACTGATGCCACTGTGCACAGGACTCCTCTTCTGGTCATGGGATGCTCTTTGACTGTTATTTTGAACTGAAACTCATCAGAAGACACACACCACTGTACACACGAGTGCTCTTTCTAGCAGTGGCTCTCCTAGCGCTAGGTCTAGGTCTTTAACACTTTCTGCACACTCTTCTTTGGGTAGTGATTTTAACACATTTTCATTGTTTGATATGAACTTATGGAGTCTGAGTTTGCCTGTGCTACACAGCTCTCTCGCTTCTTTGACTAGTTTTATTGCTTCTTCTTCTGACATCATACTGATCAGTCCGTCATCGACGTAAAAATTATTTTGAATGAACTTTACTGTGCTTGAGTCAATCTTGTCCTCACCTTGTGTGGCTAGATGTTTTAAGCCAAAGTTAGCACAGCCAGGTGATGAGGCCGCGCCGAAGAGGTGAACCTTCATGCGGAAGACTGAGGGCGGAGTGCTTAAATCACCATGCTCCCACCATAGAAAGCGTAAATAGTCCTGGTCCTGAGATCTTACATGGAACTGATGAAACATTCGTTCCACGTCACACATAACAGCAACTGAGCCCATTCTGAACCTACAGAGCACTCCCACCAATGTATTAGTAAGGTCTGGTCCCGTAAGCAGATGTTCGTTCAGTGCAGTGTCTTTATACTGTGCACAGGCGTCAAACACTACACGTATCTTACCCGGCTTTTGTGGGTGGTATACACCATGGTGAGGTATATACCAGGCAGGGCTATTGCAAAGTTCTTTCTCTGGCACCTTCTCCGCATCTCCACGCGAGATGATGTCCTCCATGAAGTTGACATAGTCTGTGTAGTACTTCTGATCCTTTTTCAATTTACGTTCCAGGCTATTCAAACGTTGCATTGCCATTGATATGTTGTTAGGAAGATTTGGTCTGTCACCTTTGAAGGGTAGAGGCATTTCATAATGTCCATCCGGTTTATGTACAATTCCTTCTTGAAGCTTGGTTAGAAAGTGAATGTCTTCTTGTGAAATGCTTTTCTCTTCCACTGCTCTTTCAGTAAAATCTGATTCAAGTGCTTTAATTACATCTGGACATGTTACTTCTTTCACTTGTGTCTTACAGATGTAATGCACTTCTTTCTTTAGCTTTGTATTTGACTCTGGTATGACTTGTTTCACAATGATGCGGTGACTTACTCCAATCACATCACTGCCTGTTTTAGTTGAATCACAGTAACTGACGATGCTCCAGCCTAAATCTGTTTTCTGAGCAAATGGCTGGTTTTCTTCTCCACAAACAACTTCTCTGGGCATTAGGCTTTGTGGACAATTGTAACCTAACAAAAGTCCTATTTCACAATCCAATGGTGGAGCAATGTACTGAGCGAGATGCTCCAAATGTGGCCATGCCCTCGCAGTGTCTGGAGTAGGAATGTGACTACGATTAGCTGGTATAAAGTCACGTGTATAAACGATTGGTACTGTGAGTTTCTTTGTAGAAAATAGACCTCTTATATTTAGAGCTTCAAGTCTTGTACATGGCACTGTAGTTTTCTTGGCTGACATTGTGGATAGTTTAAGTTTAACTTGAGTTTTGGTTGTGTCCAAGTTATCTGCTACTTCATTAAGAATAAATGAAGAATCACTCTGTGTATCCAGTAGCGCGTAAACTAGCACTTCTTTACTTGGGTCACTTTGTGTAGATACGTACACAGGCACTATGGCAGAAGTCTGTGTTTTACTGCTTTCATGAGTCACTCTATTGGAAGTGCTCTCATTTATTGTGTCTTGTGACTGGGACTTGTTTTCCTTTTGTTCACTCACTTGTTTTTGTTCTTTGGGAGCTTCTTTCTTAGGCTCTTGTCTCTGTCTTTCTTCATGCAAACATGTGGGATGACGTTTTGAACATGTATTGCATATCATTCTATTACTGCAGGCTTTGGATTGATGACCAGTGTTCAAACAGCCAAAACACAGTTTCTCACTTTGGATAAACTTCACTCTTTCTGTGACTTGTTTTTCTATGAACTTATGGCACTTGTGTAAGCTGTGTCCTGCTCTTTTACAGAACAAGCAGGGTGCTGCACTTCTTTCATTTGTGTTGGTTGTGAAGATGTTTGCAGTGTCTTGTCGTTTGGTGAAATGAGGTTTTGTCTTTGTTTTATCAAAGTCATTTTGTTTTATAGCTTGATATGATGTAATAGGATTACATGCGATACTTGCTTCCATTGACAGAAATGTCACAAAATAATTGAAACGTGGGAATTGCTTGTACTCCAATTGATACTCAGTGGCTTTTCTGTTCCATCTGTTACTCAACCAGTCCGGTAGTTTAGCAGCAAGTTGTTGGTTCTCTAGTCCATCATCAAGCACATTCAGATTGTTATTGTGGGTCATTGCAGATTGACAACTTTGTAAGAAATCCACAAACTTTCTTAATTCTGCACTATCTTTACCTGTGATCCTTGGCCAGGAATGCAGTTTTTCTCTAAATGCTTTAGCAATGACAAATGGCTCACCATAGCGTTCATTTAGCATATGCCATGCTGCATCATAAGAATTTTCAGAGCAGAGGAGAAAATAACCCTCTAAGGCTTCCTTCACAGGTCCACCAACATACCTTTGCAGGAAGAAAATCTTTTCTGTTGTGGGAATGTTCTTTCTTTCTATAAGAGTCTTAAAGGATGATTTCCAATGCTTAAACTTAAGTGGATCTCCAGTAAATATTGAAGGCTCTGGAATAGGAAGTCTATTTGCTGACATAGCTTCTGCCAAAACTCTCACTAGCTCATTTGTGCTTTTTTGAGGATTATAGTCTTGTTGTGGGTGAGGCCCCCTTATTTGTCCACGTTCAATGTTTACTTTGTAAGAAGCAGAGTCCTGCTTTACTGAAAAGTAGTCTTCATCATAAACTTTCAATTTGGCCTTTGCTGCATTAAGCTTTTTTAGACTCTCCAAGCGTTCAATTTCTCTTTCCAAATCCAGAACTGATTTCTTCCTCATAGCGCTTTCTTCTTGCTGTTTCTTTACTACAGCTGCTCTGTCTTGTTGTCGCTTTATCCTGCGTTCGGTTTCTTCCCTTTCCTCTAGGAACTGCTGTGACAATGCAATTGCTTCTTGTTCTGCACTTATGCGCTTGTCTTCTTTTTCTAATTCTTCAATGGTTTCTCTGTGTCTCTCTTGTTCAGTCATTATCTTTAGTACTGCCTTTGTAGATTCATACTCTGCAGCAGCCTCCTGTATTTTTACAGAGGATGCATTGGAGATGATTGTATGTGCCTTGGGGTGACTTTTTAGGAGTGACACACTTGAGGCAGAAGAGGATGCAAATATAGAGCTGACATCAGGCCATTTAATCTCTTCTTCTTTTGCTCCTTGAATCTGAGATGTGGTATTTTGCAGAACTATCTTAGTTACTGATGTGCACTTGTCCAATCTAGAGCGAATGTCATGAGGTGGCCGATCAATGGAGCGATATTCCTCATAAACTGAATTCAGCTCGTCCAGGTCTTTCTGAATGATATTCATATGTCCTTGCAGTATATCATTTGGATCTTTCTTAAGTACAGATTTTTTAGCCACTTTACTCATTGCTTTCCATCTGTCATAAATACAGTTAAATCGAAGTAGTAATCCCTGCAACTTGTCTTTGTGGAAATCCTTTCCCTTCTCTGACAATGTGCGAGGCCTTTCACTTCTACGAGGCTCACACTGATCCATTTGCTCCAAATCCTCTTCCACATCTGGATCTTCTTCATGAACAGATTCTTTCCTTGCAGGTTCACTTAATTCAAACATGTTTTCTTCTTGTTGTAACATTATGAACTTATTACTTATTTATTTTTAATCTTTTTAACTTGTCAACTTGACTTGAGTAATGAATTTGACTTATTTATTCATCACAGCTTGAACTTATTACCTTGCAGTTGTTATTTGGCTTAACACAGTTCCTTGTAGTCTCTTCTTCCTTTTGTCACTTTCCAAACATAAACTTCAATGTCTGGCCTTTTGGACGTCTTTACGAAGAAGGACTGATGAACACGTGTACCCATTAACATTGCATCACTTTGGTCTTGTTGCGATGACACGATGTCTCCACCAGGAGGCAGAGAGCATGGAGGTCCGAGTTCGACTATCACACCACCTCTGTATATAGTCAATTAAGAGTTCTTTTACTGATGGCTCTCTTCTTTATTATAACTTGTACACGATATTTCAAGGGTAACATGAAACATGTAGCACAAGGACGCCACCGTCGAACTAAAATAAGCAACATAAAATACAATTAGTCAAACAAAACACTCAAATAATGCACTTAAGCATACTAAACACATATATACACATACCTCGCTGGATGACCCATACTTCAGAGGCAGAGTTATGACCTTGTCATCGCTCTTATAACACCACACACGTCACTTGACTATGTGGACTTGCGTAACTCAATTAGCGTCACCGAAAACAGGTAACGAAACAAAGGTTCCTACTCAAGGATTTTCAAAATAAAGCAATACATTTACAAATAATTCTAAAATACACATATCAAAAGTATGGCAGTAAAACAGTACAATGCGTTTTACACACAAAAAACACATATGCACGTCAAACTGTGACTTTTAGGGTGATATATTACTAGTCGACAATTCTACGCATGCGCATCACTCTACCTACTGTACTGAAAATAAAGACTTAAACATGAGCTTTACATATTATAGTTTGTGGGTAAGTTCACTTTAGACATTTTACGTTAATTGAAGGTTTTAATATAACTTTATAAAGCAGTAGACCGATAAATCCGATGTCCGTGTATCTGTTTATGATTCTGAACATCTAAGGTAAGTTGGAAAATTAGTTGTTGAAACTGCCTATCTTTGCTCTATTATCAGGTAGCGCTCGTGATCAGCATAAAAGTGCGTAGGGCAGCGCCCGGGGCTCGATCCCTAAGAGGGATGGAGTTAGTCCATTTCTGCGAGAGAGAATGCAATCGAAGTAGCCACTGAGCTAAACCTACGCAACCTAGCAAAATGCAAATTGTATTTTTATATAGTACAGCCAGAAGATCAGATCATTTCACGATTTGACAACATAGAAGCCATAAATGAGCTGCGACATGGAGAAACCCGTCCAGAGTTATATTTATTGTGTTGTATATAACATATATAACAATTGTATTTATATATATATATATATATATATATATATATATATATATATATATATATATATATATATATATATATATATATATATATAAAACTATACCATAATCATTTCTAATAACAATTTTTAGCAAGTAGAAATACACCCCATGGGTCAAATTGTTTTAATACTACTATCAGCTAATAAGAAAAAAATACAGGAAGAGGCAGACTAATAATAGTTGAAGGAATAATCTCCATATAATGTATTTTCAGATCATATGCATCTGTTTGCATGCATTTGTGTTTGTACTCACACAGTAGCTCAAAGTGTATGTATTTTATTTGGTTTCAGTGCTTTCTAAAATATGATGTTGGATACAGAAAATGCTCATACTCTTGATGGCTTTATGTACCACATTCAATACACTGTAGTTGGCGTGGCTGTAAAAGAACTACATTCAAACATTTTAGTTGTTTAATTTTCTTTAACTAGAACAATCCACATCAAGACCACTGAAGGCCATATACTGGCAACAAGGACCGGCTGCACAATCGAACATGCTCTTGCCCGGCAAGGTTTGATACTGCCTGGGGGGGAAAAACAAAATACTACGTTATAACATGTTATTGATAAGTAAAACAAATGTGAATGACGGAGGTAGGCCTCAATCCAATAATTAGGGATTAAAACCAAGACATAAACAGATAAGACTCAATCAGAATTATTTTCTCGTATAGATCAAAAAGGTGCATGGACAAAGTGTTAATACTAACCTTTTCCTTTTTTGATGCTGTAGTTGATGGTAATATTCCGGATCTCTAATCTGACTTTTCGTGTTAGTGTGCAGTTGAATAGAATGGTTTTATTGGCATAGTTTAACTTGTGGTTGGTGATATTCAGCTGGCACATGCTTGAAACCAGAGGTGGATCCATGTCTGAACTGTTAATTTGGCAGGAGAAAGACGGAGACCCCTCACAGTCGGGATACGAGCACTTCAGCCTTGAATTAACCAAAAAATAGAATTAATGACTCAATTTAAATGATTTCAAACATGATGAAGTTTAAAGAAGAGAATGTGGCAGAGATGGCAGCCTGCTTGCAATAGAAACTTTTCAACAAGCACAATTAAATAAGAATGTGATACCTTGCATATTATCATAAGGTTATATCTGGCTATATTAATATTATGTAAGTTATCTTTAAGCCATCACTGCAGGTGCTTATGACTGACGTCTTACCTTAGAGTGTTGTTACTGGTGCAAGCTTTAATGAGCCCAAAATTTCCTTGTTTTGCAGCAAAAACTGTAATAGACATAAAAGTACACATCATATTTTTACTAGGAGCAAACTAGGAACAAAGGAATATAGTCTGAAATGATCACACTCTGCATATATTTTGGAGATTTTAAAACTAGATTTTTCTGTAGACGCATCCACACACTTCTTAAACACACACGAAAAAGGACTATTAGTCTGCATAATTGCTGCAACCAATTGGTAAACACAAATATTTGGTGCTTGGAAAGGTTGAACATTTTCTGAATAAAATGTAATTGTCATTTTAAGTATTTCCATTGTTATTAGATTTGTGATCTATCTTTTGACATCCACATAAGAATAGCCTCAACGTGAAACTCGGTAAACTCGTTATGGCCATTAACATTTCAGAGAATACTTGAAATGCAGCTACAGAAAGGACACTTTTGTCCTGAAGGCTTTTTACTCTCAAACTGCCCTGATATATACAAGTGATTGACCTGTTCCCCTGGTATGACATAGAGACCTAAACGTTTCTCAATGTTTGTCTCTCAAGGATGAGTAAAGTTACCGTAATTTCCGAACTATAAGTTGCTTCTTGTTTCTAGTTCTTTGAATCTTGTGGCTTATCTAGAGATGCAACTAATATATGTAATTTTTATTGTTGTCAGGGAGTTTATGGACCCATTATTTGGCATCCATCCAGTTTTAGTAGCCATAGGACACTCGTTTAGTGTCATAATATAACGGTGAATGACTACCGGCATGGAAGCTAACATGTTAATCTGTTAAACTCCTCTTCATAAAATTATGTTGTGACCAGTTAGTCATTCATCAGTTATATTACATGAAAACCTGCGGCTTTTTTTCCAGCGCAGACGTAATGTACTTTCTTTTCAAATGTTACTGGTGCGGCTTATACACCGATGCGCCTAACAGTCCAGTACGAGTACAATACTGGATTGCTTATCTTTAGCTTCAATAAACTCAAAAGTAAGCTTTGTACACAGTACTCTGTAGGGCTTTTCATAGTCATAAAATATTGTAACATTGGCACTAAACTCCTTGCACTGAAACTTCTATTTCAGTGCAAGGAGTTACTCTTTGGAGCAGATTAATAGACGATTGAACATTTTAAAATATAATTAAGTGAAAAATATATGAGAAAGAAGTATGAAGTATGTGTAAGAAAGAGTGATGCCCTCAGCACTAACTGAGTCATGGGAGCCGTATTGTCAGGGAGTAGTTTAGGTGTTTTGGGTTGCGTTGTATGTGTGTGTGTATGTGTGTGAATGTGTGTATGTTTTGTGTTATATTGATTAAATGAAAAGGGATGGAGCAAAATAAGCATTGCTTTGTCCAAACCCATTTCAAAGTATTTTTGTATCTTGTTTATAGTTTTATTCTATATGGCATTTAAGTTTGAAACACATTACCTACCTACCTACATTAATTTCAGGATTGGAAAAAAGCATACAAAATAACATTACATTCCATCTTAATTCCTCTACGGATTAAAAGAAAGTTACGCATTTTTTGAACATTCAAATATTTCTTTCCTAACATCAGCATTTACATTGAGGGAGGAAAGTTGTAATAAAGTTAGTGACATTAAAACAAGGCTATGAGCGAGCAATGGTATCTGTCGATCTTCTAAATGTGATTAAGTCTTGTCCTAGTGACTGATGCGCTTGTTAGAGAGGAGACAGGAACCGCCAGAGTTCCATTAGCCTCCCTTCGCATGCAACACCCAAGCAGGAAAAACACGCACAACAAGTGGAACAAAAGTTACTCTTACCAATTTGGAGAGAAAGAAGAGATGCTACAAAGAACATGATAATAATTCCCTGGGTTTAGGCTGTAATTAGATACATACAAGATATCTTAAGTTAACTATTGCGCTAGATAAAGGTGTTCTAAATTAAAAGCATGGCCGTTACAATATAGAAAGTCTAATCAGGACAGAAAAGTGTATGAACAAAATGGTACCGTTTTAGAGCTGGGATCCTGTTGCTTCAAAGGGAGGCAGAGATTCAGTGTTTGTAGGGCAGGGCAGCTGAGACCATCTTAAAGAGCTACGCACTGTGTGTGTGATGTTGGGCTCAGTTCTGTGGTTTCAGGCACTCAAGATCTTTCTGGCTAATGCGATTCTTAATGAGTTGAGTACTGTAGATTGTAGAGACAGATTTCCTTTACAGTGAATTGAAAATATAGCTTACACAGATTCCACTCTAGGTCCATATTATTATAAGCGACTTATGATATGACTTAGGTAAAACTATTATGCCGTGTGCTGTGTCTCTTTATAAAAACATCACAATGGTTTACACTGAGACTTCTAGTGTGTTACGTACAACTCCATACAATTAGAAACAGCAATTACAAAATAAAATAAAAACTACTTAAACCAAACTTGACTTTCACAAGTAAAAAAAATCTGTGCTAATGAGTAAATTACTAAACACGAATTACTAATACTAATAAATAGTAATTGTAAGAATATGAAATATGGTATCACAATGATACTTCACTATCTGCTTTCTCTGTCCATATATATATATATATATATATATATATATATATATATATATATATATATATATATATATGTTGATTAAGTAAGTAAGTAAGTAAGTCATCTTTATTTATATAGCACCTTTAACGATTACGACATGCAATATTTTAGCCATCCCTGTAAATGCTAGTCTCATATTGATATCTTGCCAATTGCAAATCTACATAATGCACTTGTGTTTATTGGTACTTACACATATAACTATGTAAATGTGATCATCGTGTAATATTTAAGCTGAGATCATTAAGTATTTGGATTGGAGATATTTCAAATATAGTAACCCTGCAAGTGTGGACATGTCTCTGTTTGGTTGTGACCGAGAGAACATCGCTCATTGAAGTTTATTATTTTCTATATACTTAAAGCTGCATTATTTTGTTTATATCTGTTGCATTTATTCCTACTGTTCTGCAATGTGTGGTTCAACACTGACATTTCTACACTGTGGCACTAATGGAGATTGTCATATCCTATCTGTACAATATTCACAACAATAAGTGGACACAAGAAAAAACTTGTCCAAATATGTATGAAAACTAGAAAGGAGCATTCAACAGTGCTTTTATTTTGTATATAATGATCAGAATATGTGGTTGTCACTGCGGGATTGTAAGCAGTGAATATCAAAACAAAACACTGGACAGCGCCCGGGGTCGATCCCATAATGGGATGAAGTTTGTTTTTCTGAAAGAAATGACAAGCGAAGTAACCACTGAGCTAAGCCAGTGCAAAAGAAATACAGCTCAAAGGATTTCATATATCTGAGTCAGCAGACAGCGCAGAGCAGACGTGCACTTTTTAATTGAACACATATGATTTCTATTTTTATAGAAGCCCGTTTCCGCCATGTAAAAGAAAAAAGGCCTACAGAAAGTCAACCTTTTTAGTTTTAAACTCAAAATTGTCTGGAACGGTCTCTGGTCATCCTTCACCTGCAGGTTATGAGAAGACGACTTCTTATTTCGACATAGTAACAAATAATGTGAGCAATATGTTCTTATAATAAATCAAAGGAAAATGAGCCATCGAGACATTCCACTCTACCAGACGATGACACTGAGAGGGGTCCACACGGAGCGAGTCTTTCCACGGCTGAAAGGTTGCGCTTTCTACGTGTTGAGTATTAATAGTTACTTATGTAACTTAAGATCTACGAATAGGTGCGTAGTCCCTTAGGACTTCGCTAGTGGGATATCACGTGACCCCCAGGTCAAACGCCAGAGAGTTCAAATATATATAAATATGCTCCAATCACTAGCGACCCTCCTCTATAAAAGCCCCTGCACAAGGCCGCACCCCCTCTTGAACTCTGTCAAGCCGGGCTGGCCTGATGGGCTCGTAGCTAAGGGACTACGCACCTATTCTTACAACTTAAGTTACATAAGTAACTATTAATTCTACGTCATGGTGCTACGTCCCTTAGGACTTCGCTAGTGGGACACAACACGGAGGCCGTAGGAACATGTACTCCCAGCAGGCCAGCGAAGAGTGATTGGAGCCCCGCCCGAGCAAGACCCTCACACAGTGAGAAGACTCAGGGCAGAAGAAAACCAATTGCGTGTTACGGGGCCGCTCCTCCCAAGGACACCCCCAAGTAACACCAACCGAAAGTCACCCGTAGTCCCAGGACGCCTCTCCCAAGAGCTCCTGACGTGGACTACCTAACTGACCCAGAAAGCACACACACACCGCACCCGCAGGACGCCTCTCCCAAGAGCTCCTGAACCAGGGCGGACAAAACCAAACCGTAGACCCCCTCAGATGGGGAAACTCACGGTTTCAACTCAATCCGCTGCACCAAGCACGGAATGGGCCACCGACCGGTCCGACACATCCAAAGGTAAGACCGGACGAAAGAGGAGGACGAAGCCCAAGAAGCCGCACGGCAAACGTCCTCGACCGAAGCCCCCCCCTGAGGAGGGCCACCCCACGCGTGGAGTGCGACCTGAAACCCACCAGGGGGCCCTGAGCCTGATACGCCAACCGCACAGCCGTGGCGACCCAGTGCGCCATTCGCTGAGACGACAGCGGGGCGCCCCTGTTCCTGGGGCCCACACACAAACAGCTGATCAACCAACCTGAAGGAAGATGTCATAGCCAGGTAACGCTTAAGCATTCTGACAGGACACAGAAGGTGCCGCCGCTCCTCCTCCGGCGAGGCATGCGGCGGCGGATGGAAAGCCCTAATCCTGATCACTCTCGACCTGAAGGCCGAAGTGATGACCTTAGGGAGAAAAGGACCGGATTGGGCCACAACTCCACCAGACCGTCATCCCCTCCAAAGGACAGGCAAGACGCATGGACGGAGAGCGCACACAAGTCGCCCGCCCTCTTGGCAGACGCCAGCACCAGCAAGAGAGCAGTCTTAAAGCCACACACTCGGGACTCGCCTCCGACACCAGCTCAAAAGGCGGGCCCGAAAGACCCCTGAGGACCACCCTGAGGTCCCAAACCGGGGGCATTCTTTGAAGCGGGGGCCTCCTCCTGCGGGCCCCCCGCAAAAAGCGTTTGACAAACGGATGGGAACGGGCCGTGAACCCCCCGAAACCACCGTGACCCCGGCTCGTCCGGTAGGGCCCAAGGCTCCATCACCGCCATGCCCCTCAGGAAGGGGAACCACCAGGCATGTGGACTGTCCGGAGCCACCAGGACCCCCGACCTCCCCTCCTGTTCGATCCTCCGCAGCAAGACCGGCAGGAGACGAACTGGTGGAAAAGCATACAGAAGGCCCCTGGCCATGGGTAGTGAGCCAGGGCGTCCACCCCTAGGGGCGGCTCGTCCGCGGCCCTTAAGGCGAACCAGGACGGACACTGTGAGTTCTCTGCACTGGCGAAAAGGTCGACCACTGGGCGGCCAAACCTCCGCCAGACCTTTGCAGCTATCCGCGGGGCCAGGCCCCACTCGTCCTGGAGTGGGCCCCCCCTGGACATTCTGTCTGCACCCACGTTGTGACGCGTCCGTGAACACCTCCACGTGAGACACAGCACTGACCAGAGTCACTCCGTCCCGCAAAAGACCCGGAGTGAGCCAGAACCTGATGTCCGACGCTGCAGTTTGGGGAACCCAGATCAGCTTCCCCATCAAGTTCCTCATGTGGAGGAGGCCTAGCCGCACCACAGCATGAGCCGCCACCATCATCCCCAGAAGGGACCTGAGGCGCCGAGCGGGGACCCTGGGGCCCGCTAGCACCTCCCTGGCCAGACGGGTGATGTTCCTCCGTCTGTCCTCGGACAATGCAGCACGGAACGTCACAGGGTCTAGCTGCAGGCCGAGATAGATCATGCGCTGAGCCGGCTGCAGCCTGCTCTTTTCCCTGTTCACCACAAACCCCAGACGCTGTATGTGGGAAATGACCCAGTGTGTGTGACTCACGGCCACTTCCCTGGTCGAGGCCAGTATTAACCAATCGTCTATATAGGTTAATATCCTTACCCCCGCGCCTCTGAGCGGCTCCAGTGCCGTCTCCACGCACTTTGAGAAAGTCCGAGGCGCGAGCGCGTAACCGAAGGGGAGACGGCAGTACTCGTAACTCCTCTCTTCCACCGCGAAGCGTAGGAACTTCCTGTGTTCCGGAACTATCGCCACGTGAAAATAAGCGTCTGTCAGGTCTGTGGAGGACATCCAATCTCCCTGTCTGACACACTCCAGGAGCTGTTTCGTGGACAGCATCCAAAACTGACGCTTGGAAATGCACTCGTTCAAAGTGCGCAGATCCAGAATGGGACGCACCCCTCCTGACTTCTTTGGCACTAAGAAGTGAGGGGAGCAGAGCCCCCTGGTGGCGTCCTGCGGGTCTACCTCTACTGCTGCGCCCAGACTTAGCAGAGAGGAGACCTCCACTTGCAGAGCCACTAATGACCCCCGTACCTGAGAGCGTGCTGCCCGCACGCCCCGGAATGGTGGTGGTTTTTGGGAGAATTGCAATGCGTAGCCTCTGCGCATGGTTTTCTCCAGCCACGGATCCGACAGTAGGCCCTGCTCCCTCCAGATGCTGTAGAAGTCTTTGAGGGGCGGAACGGGAACTGGAACATGAGACGTCACAGCCCCGCCCTCTCCTGGTGCTCCTAGCAGGGAGGGGGGGTGAACGAAAGGGCAGAGGGGCCTCCTGCGTCACCTAGTGTGCGCCGGGGGCGGTCACGTGTCCTGCAGACCCGACGTCATAAGTCCGGGCCTGCTCATACCATGTGACTCGACCGCTCTGCCCCCCCTTGGCGCTTGCCTCATGGAGGGGGGGGGGGCCCCTGGAGTGGGAAACCCCGT